TGTAAAAAGTCGAGGAAAAAAAGAAAGCACTTGCAACAGTCAAGAGATTGTTAGGAGTTAGGTCCCCTCACATTTGTGAGGTAGACTCGACCAGTGTAATAGTTAGCTTACATAATCAGAGTTTGCGACTGCTTATAACTGTGGCCCCAAAAGGGGTGAACAGGGTATTTGTGGCAATGAAACAGTTTTTGACTGCTATGGACATGTTCCCTTCAACTTTATTGATAGACTCTTCCAGCTTCACTTTAAGCTTACTTAATCAAAGCTTGGAAAAATATGTGAACCTTCATAAAGAAATCAGACACAAATGTAATCTAGCAAAAGAAACCTGGTTAAAAGAAGAATGTGAGGAAATGGAAAATCATTCCAATGCGAACTCAAAAGATCTGCACAGAAAAATTAAGGAGGTGTGCCATACAAGAACACGTGGATCAACAGGATGTCTCAAATCAAAGGATGGGAATATCATAAAGGACAAAGACAAGATACTAGAACGTTAGACAGAATATATCGGTGACATGTACAATGACAAAAGAGATGAACAAAGAAGAGTGGAAAATAACAACGAGGGACCACCAATCATGAAAGAAGAAGTTATCAAGGCACTACGAAAGATGAAGAACGGGAAAGCTGCAGGACCGGACAATATTACCACAGAGATGATAAAAGTTTTAGAAGACTTTGGAATCACCACGCTGACAAAACTTCTTTAACAACATATATGCCACTGGACATATTCCATCAGACTTGTCAAAATCTATCTTCATAGCTTTACCAAAGAAACCTAATGCAAACGAATATGAAACGCATCGTACCATAAGCCTCATGAGCCACATAACAAAAATATTGCTCAGAATAATTATGATGAGAATACGAAATAAAATTCTCCCAGAAATAGCCCAAGAACAGTGTGGATTTATTGAAGGCAACGGCACTGTAAATGCCATATATGTCATCAGAACAACAATAGAACGTGCCGTAGAAGTTCAGAAAGATCTTCATTTATGTTTTATAGACTACACCAAGGCATTCGACAAAGTTAGGCACGACAAGATCATCGGCATGCTGGAAGTTCTTAATATCGACAGGAAAGACTTAAAGATTATCAAAAACATGTACTGGGATCAAACTGCTGCAATGAGAATAGAAAACGACATCAGCGAATACATACAGATTAAAAGAGGATTCAAACAAGGATATGTACTTTCTCCAGACTTGTTCTCCCTGTAGAGTGAAAATATCATGAGACACATAGAAGAAATGCCTGGTATCTCGATAGGGGGACATAATATAAACAATCTAAGATATGCAGATGACACAGTCCTAATAGCAGAGGATGAAGAACACCTGCAGAATCTATTAAATGTCATCGTACAAGAGAGGGACAACATGGGCTTAAGCCTAAACATCAAGAAAACCGAACTGATGGCGATAAGCAGAAAAACTCCAATCCCAACATGCAATATCAAAATCAATGATCCATACCACCCTCAAGCAAGTACACCATATTTGGGGACCATTATATCATCAGATGGTAGATGTCACACCGAAATTAATAAGCCGCATTTGCCAAGCAAAAGCAACCTTCCACAAGATGAAACAGATACAAACAAACATCAATCTGTCACTGGAAACGAGGAAAAGAGTACTGAAAAGTTACATCGAGTCAATCCTATTACACGGGTGCGAAGCGTGGACAATCAATAAACAGCTGGAAAGAACAATTGTAGCGACCGAGTTGTGGTTCATAAGACGCATGCTAGGTATCCAATGGACAGCTAGAAAAACAAATGAAGAAGTCCTGGTTGAAGCAAATTATAGAAAACAACTTATCACGAATATAAGAAAAAGACAGGCAAATTTCTTTGGACACACAATGCGGAAAGAAGCATTAGAGAATATTGTAACAACAGGAAAGTTTGATGGAAAGAGAGGCAGAGGCAGA